AGTCAGTTGAATTTCCGTGTAACCATTAATGTTGGACATCTGATACATTTGGATTTGCACCAAGTTTCAATAGCCTCTTCATAAATTGGCATCACATTCCCTTATACCAAGTTGCTTACAAATTTCATTATTTAGAAAATAAAAGATCAATTTAAATTAGTTAAACCATATAAATAGATTAATATTACTGTCATTGCTCAAAATTTTCAATTACATTAAAATCATAACATCATAATAAAATGAGTTTACTAAACCAAGCACAATTAACTGCTTTTCAACTTTTCAGGCTATTGATATGGGTATTTGCCATCCGGAGGTAAAATGACAAAGGCGACCATGACGGTTGGCGCGTGACCAGTTCACTATGAGCATTGCCACCATAAGGTTCCTTCTCGTCAGATAATTGATTTCATAGAGTTGAAATTGGTTCCTTTGGTTTAATGGGGCACTGGGTTATGTTTTCAGGACCATTCTGACCATGGAATTTCTTTGGGTTGCTTCACACCATTGCCTTGTTCAATTCCAAACCAAATTTTTCCAATTTATTATAACATACGGTTTTACATCTTATGTAAGTTGATATAGCCTATAGATAAATCCGTCAATGAAATCATCAATATTTGATTATTGGTTATATATATTATCACAGGAAAGTTCTTTTCTTTTCCTTTTATTTACAAATTAGGTTTATTTGACAAATTTTCAATAACTAATAAATTTTATTTATTTTATTTGATTGAGGTAAAGATTTTTTAAGAGAAACAACACAATTCCAAAGAGACCAAATGAACTAATTGGAAGATTGAGACCCATAAACCATAACACAACTACATCAGCATTCTGAGATACAGAAAGTGAAATCAAATTGATGAAACTATGGTTCAACAACTTAGTTCTATCCGAAAAATCAATAAATATGTTAACTAAAGATCAGATAACTCTTAGAAAGTAGTAAACTTCTCACAGATCAAGATCTTAAAAAGTCAACTTCTTAAAAAATTAAAAATTTTCAAAGTTTTGAAGAAGATAAAAGAAGTTTACAAATTACTATACCTAAAATTCAGACTATACTTATGATTTAACTACTATATTTAAATAAAAATAAAAAATTGGGACAAACTCACAGTTAAGAAGATTTGCATAAAGAAATTAAAGTATTAAAAAATGAAGTCAAAGACTTAAACATCAGCACAAGTACATAATGAAAAAATAAAACAATTAGAAAAACCCAGTTGGTATCTAGTTCCTTCTTCTTGATGAAACCAGATGATTAAAATCACAGATGGAATAAATGAGATAAATGAAGATGAAGAAATAAATCCACATTTTCTTTTTTCTTTACAGAAATAACATCTAGAAAATATTTTTAGTAAAATTTTTAACTTTACAATTTCACCATGGATTTTATATAAATGTAATAGCTTTATTCGAACAGGCAGCAGATTTAAACTGTTAATTAAAAATCTGATTTAATACTGTATAAAATCTGATTTAGTACCACATAGGTTTTGGTCAGAAACTCATGAAAAACTAACTACAGCTAATAAATCTAAACTAGAAATTCTAGGTAAAATTGAAGCAATTATTGTAAATAATGATTTGGAAATTAAAACAATATTCCTGCTTTCACCACAAATAAATTATATGGTAATATTAGGCACACCATTTATAAACCTAATCACACCATACTCAGTAAAAGAAGACTGTATTAAATTCAAAATAAAAGGCAGTAGAGCTAGGTTAGAATTTACTGAAAAACCTAGGAGAAAGAATTTAAATTTATTAAAAGCTCACTCCATTAAAACTTTAGAAATTAACTCTTTGATAAATTCTAAGGAAGAAGACTTAAATAATTTGAGAAATCATGCATATCTTCAAAGGATTAAAACCCAATTAGAAAATAAAGAGGTTCAAACTAGAATTAGTAAATTAAGAGATTTTATGGAAAATAGACTATGTGCAGATCACCCAAATGCATTTTGGGCCCGTAAACAGCATATTTTAGTAGATTTACCATATTGAAAAGGACTTTTGATGAGAAGGTCCATTACAACTAAAGCTCGGCCCATTCAAATTTGAAGCCCTGAAACTTATAGAACACTGTAAAAAGAAATTTAAAGACTTAGAAAATAAAAAATTAATTAGTAAATCTAGAAGTCCTTGGTCTTGTGCAGCTTTTTATGTCAATAAAAATGCTTGAGATTAGAACGCGGAGTACCTAGATTAGTAATTAATTAATAAACCAATTAAACACAATTTTAAAATGGATTAGATATTCATTAACCTAATAAAAAAGATCTATTTTAAAACACTTTGTATAATTGCAAACATTTTTAGTAAATTTGATATGAAATCTTGGTTAATTGGTAAATTCCAGAGATTCATCCTAATGACAGATATTAAAACAAAACGGCATTCACAGTTCCTTTTGGTCAATATGAATGGAATGTAATGCCTTTTGGATTAAAAAATGCTCCTTCTGAATTCCAGAGGATCATGAATGAAATATTTAATCCCCATAGTGAATTTTGTATAGTTTATATTGATGATGTTCTAGTTTTTAGTAGAACATTAGAATATCACTTTAGACACTTAAAAACATTTTGCATGATAATTGAAATGAATGGATTAGCACTGAGTAAAACTAAAATGGATTTATTTAAAACCAAAGTTAGATTTTTGGGTCACTATATAGAACAGGGTATTATCCAGCCCATAGAACGAGCTATGGTTTTTGGGTCCAAGTTCCCTGATGATTCCTGATGAAATAACTAATAAAACACAACTTCAGAGATTTCTTGGTTGTTTAAATTATGTTATTATGTTATAGATTTTTATCCAAATCTAAATTGTATGATAAAACCATTGCATGACAGGCTTAAGAAAAATGCTGGCCCATGGACAGTCCAGCATACACAGTTAGTAAAAAAGATAAAGGCCTTAGTAAAGGAAATTCCATATCTTGACATCCCTAATCCAACAGCTTTTAAAATCGTTGAAACGGATGCTTCAGATAATGGTTATGGTGGTATATTAAAACAAGTAATTAATGGTAAAGAACGAATTATTCAATATACTTCTGGTCATTGGAACCAAACGCAATTAAATTATTCTACTA